GTCGACTATGTCTTCCTCAAACACGGGCATTCCAAATGTTCCCCTCAATTTCGACATCATGACCCAGCTTATGGGCCTCCAGGGCCAGCAGCAATCAGGGTCAATGGGTCAGGGCCAGTACAACCCACAGCTTGTATTGGAGCAACGCCTCAAGCTCAATCAATTGCAACAATTGCAGCTGCAAAATCAGATCCTCCAGCAACAGGTAAGCTCATTTCCTTCTCGAAAATGCATACCTCGCGTCGAATTGCGAGCATCGGCACCGGCTTCTCATCGCCTGATCCACTGACAACCGCTATCTCTAGCTCGAGTTTCTGAATGGACAGGGTGGCTCTACAACGATGGATGGTTCCGGCGACCGACAGAAAGCCCAGCAACAGTTTCTGGGTCTCCCTACGCCTAGTGAGTCCCATACTCATGATCTCGGGTTCCTTCGACGCCAATCGCATCATAGTGAATTCCACCGAGTTGCACGCCCAGCCTAGTCCCAACACCGACTACATCTCCCCCATTACCCTTGGCTATGTCGAGGCCTCGCATTACCGGCCAGATAACCAGCCACAGCTGCCTCCCCCAGATATGCATCTCCCTCCTCACCACATGTCTGCCCCGCATGCAGCTCGCACGGCGCCTGCCAATATCGTCTTTAGTACAACGCCACCTATACCCCTCCCCTCTCCTGGAGACCTAGACTTCGACCTTTCGCCTTTGAGCCCATGGATGGATGCATATAAGCCGGAAAATTCCCACCCCCGACCCAACAAACGCACCGCGTCTCCTCGCGAGGAAGACCAAACAAAGCCCTCACGACAACGACCTTCGCCTACGCCGCGCGTCGCTTCCGCCAAGCGTTCTGCACGTGGAACAAAGTCTGCATCATCGACGCCGCTCATTCGTCCTGGAGGACGCAAGGGCAGCATCAGCGGTGATGTGCCTGGCGACAGCCCCTCGCCCGTGGATCTGTCGATGCCCCCGCCCGCTCCTCCCGCAACGCAACCCGAGGCGAATCCTCCATCTTCCTCCAAAAATGTTCCTACCTTGAACTCGTCGCCTGGTGGCGCTACAGAGTCCGTTCAGAACATAACGCCAGTCACGCCAGCCAGCATCATGAACCTTGGTGGTCTCGGCATTAATAGCGGCCTCGGACCTCCTCCCGCCGTCAAACATGATGGCAAGAGCAAGTCCTCCGCTCGTGGGAAGGACGCGTCCACTTCCGTGCCTGCTGTCAAAAAGGGACCTGGCATACCACTTGTCAGTCCAAGTTTGAAGCCTATCCTTCCAGGTAAAATTAGTGCTTGTCTCACGGAAACTAGAGTTCTGATGTGTTCTTGCTAGCTGGCAATGTGTATACCTCGAACGCTCTCGCGTCGTCCTCCGTGTCATCGCCTGTCCTTCGCAAAACGTCGCATAAGGCGGCCGAGCAGAAGCGCCGCGACTCGCTCAAGACAACTTTCGACGACCTTCGTCTACTTCTGCCTCCCATCCCGCTGCCGACAGAAGAAGGCTACCCTGATGAGCCCGTTCTGCCGGGCGCTATGCCTCCACGTGGTCCACCACGAGGCAATGCAGATGGACCCAATCGCGGTATAAGCAAGCTGCAACTTCTGCGCTGCGGAAACGACTACATCCGTGTGCTGAAGGAGAAGGTTTCGAAGCGCGACACCGAGATGGCCGCACTCCGTCGCGAGGTATATCGCTTACGCGGGCTCGTGAGTGAGGAAATCTGGCAGGAAGGCGCTGAGGAGCTCGACCTCGAACGGGACGTCGACCAGGGCGAGATTGGGCCATGGCGTCGAGGTGCGAGCACGTATGACGTGGACGAGGGTGACGAGGACATGGCAGAGTAACAATACTGATATTGCAGCGTCGCCTTAGGGCAGCGAGGAGAGGTTGGTGCGCGTGAGGCGCAGTCGTCTGTGTTGTGAAGATTAGTATTATGCTGTCGACCTCTTGAAGAGGGTATTTGTTTGTAGCGAGCTTCCCGACGGCATATTCTGCAACTTGTGTATGGTTTCACGATAAACTTCCTTTGTGCGACACCGACTGATCTGCTATTTTTTTTCTTTCCCTCTCTCCGACGCCGAGTAGCCTGTTTGCCTCCAGTTGTCGTCTTCCGCCACCTTCTTCCGTTCCACCTCCGTGTCTAGGCTGGCCAATTATTCCCGCGTGGACGCTCCTGGCCCCAAACTCCGATCTGCGTCCGCCACACAAGATGATACCCCCTTCCTCTGTCTTCTGGGATATGAAATTGGATTCGCTCGGCTCCTCGTGTCTATGCACCTGACTAGGCAGCAGCTCGTAGCAGCGGCCACTGCACAAGACTGCGCGTTCTACAATGGATCACTGGCCCGCCTTACAGCCTAACAGCCCATGTGCCGCAATAAAAATAACATATCATGCTCCGGACCACGGACGAATGACGATGTGTCACGCTCGTAGAAACCGAAGAATGAGTTGCCAGAAGCAGCCACTGAAGCTGCTACGCTGGTCCGAAGCGGCCTCATGCTCACGGGGCCCCACTACACTCTCCTCTCTCGGACGAAGGACGTGCGCGGAGAGCTTCCTGGAGGTCAGCTGCCGCGCGCACTGTTTCGGAAGATCGTCCACTGATATGTTCGTTCCAGTGTGTCGTGATGCCAGCAGCTGCCGTTAGGCTGGGAGGCTTCCTGAGCTTAATGATCACCTGTCAGGCCCCCGCCGATACTCTCTTCTCCGCGATACCGCCAGGTCGCGCCCGGCGCTTCGTCCAGCTTTCCCATGTCATTTAGCATATCGTTGCTTATTGTCCGCGAGCTGCGTCCTGGTCCAGAGCTAGCACAGATGAGACACAACCTGCCATGGCCCGGGGGATGTAACTCCTGGACGCTTCTCTTCCGTTTCACGGCCGCTCAAACGCCTCTAAGGCTCTATAACCTACCCCCCGCACGTCACGCGAGCCACCTGGAGATGCTTGGTCCCGAAATTCATCTAATGTCGGACGGCTCCCTGTTGGGTGGGAAACATCGGCCTCGCCCTGTGTTCCTCCCCACGATCCGTTTGACCTGTTGCCACCCATCGAGCACGGAAACATTAATTCTGCAAACAATTTGAATGTTTTCGGAGGCGAGTGGGATGTCGATTACCTCGTATGAGTCAATGCGCGTAAGGCCCGAATGGAAAGCCCAAGTACCATGGAGCAGCATGCTGTGCCCAATATGTATTTGTATTGAAGAACCGAGCCAGGCTGCGTTTCTACGGGACCCCTGCATACGTAGAGCGATGGGCGGAACTTTTTTGACACGTCCCAGCGGTGCAAAATATTCCCTTCACGTCTCCTGAGCGGTGCATACAGTCCTGCTGCGCGGCTGTCCGTCCCACAGCAAGTCTGTATGCGTAAGAAGATATTGTGAATCTGTGCACCATACTACGCTGTTCTCAACCCTCCGGCGATACGCTGACACGCACAAATGGTAGAAGATAAGTATACAGCCCTGGTTTTATGACCGTGAGAAACAACGCAAGAACCGCCCGCCTCGACGGGTGAGACAACGTCGGGACTCTGCCCAACTATACGACACCGGGGCTATATGTCGCCTGCCTCAATTATCTTTGGTGTAGACAATATGATTATCTCCATTCATTCCTGTCTGAGACGGCTCGAGCCTGAGTGTCACTCTGACGTTGGCGACGATAAGATCTTCTCAAGATGGCGATCGGATCTCACGGTGTAGGACGAGCACGCGAGACTGTCAATCTGAGATCTTCGGAGCCCTTTTGGCGTCCCTGACCGCCCGTCGGTCGACGTGTGCGCATTTTCTCTCTCTCCCATCACCATGTCGCAGCCCGGACACAGCCCTCTGTACGTCTGCCAGTAACCTATACACCTTTATCGGTGTCGACTGACTGTTGCGGACGCGCCAGCTCTGCAGTGTTCCTACTCCACATCGCCCTCGAGGTGCCGCTCGGCATCCAGGGCATCTGGGCCCCCACGTCGCTCCCGTTCCTCCAGCTGAACAACACGACTCTCGTGATACTCAAGGTGCGTCGTCCGCGCGCTGCTACGCCCTCACCGCTAACGCTGATCTGGTCCCGCAGCTGTACGCCACGCTCGTGCTTGGCGTTTGCCTCGCCGCGTTCCTCGTCTATCCCCTGCCAGGTGCGTCGCCGCCGCACATACGTGGCACCTGCCAGCCACTAACCACGCTCATCACAGAGTTCCTCCCCGGCAAGCGCGCACTTGCGATCGGTCTCTGCGTGTACCACAGTATCGTGTCGACCGTGCTCTTCCAGTCGCCGCGCTTCATCCCGTTCTCTTTTGGCGCGTTATTTGAGACGTCAGTGCCTCACCCCCACCCCTATATGCCGTGCTGACCGGTTTCTGCCGCACGCAGGTACAAATTTACACCCGAAGTCCTGTGGGGTGGCCTGCATGGCCTGCTGGGCCTCGGTTTTGTCACCTGGTGGCAGGGCACGGTCGCGTTCACGCAGATGATGAGGAAGACCGACTAGGCGCCGTGTGCGCAGCCCAGCGGGATTTTTAACCGCGTCAATATTGTGTTGCCCTAGCTGTATCCTTCGGCTACGTGCTGTATCTCAGAACACCCATGGAAATGGAAGCAACGCCCAGGTCGGGAAGAAGCCCTTGCGGTCCGTGTGCTACTGGCGTAGTGTCCTAGGACAACCGTCCGGTAATTTATGAGTTCCGGGACCGATCTGCGAATAGGTTCTTTTGCTGTGCATGAGCCGGGTTGGCGCGCGCTAAGCTTGCGGCGTCCACACGTTGCCAGGGTGGTAGTGTGCTTCGTCCTCCCACAAAGGATCTGACCGCACATTCGGGCGGCGGGGGCCGTTAGCGGAGAAAAAAATAGGGTGGAGCGATGGGCGTGGTGCGCAGCACTCCGCACTAGAACGATTAACATTTCTTTCCCCGACATCAAACGTCGCAGGTGCGAGGCTTGCGCGATCGCATGCCAACAGGCTAGTGAGCATTGCATACGACACACCTGCTGAATCCCATGCACTCCCGTTTAGCTCAGCTGGTAGAGCGCGTCACTAGTACTTGAGTTCCTGAATCCAATTACGTAATGACGAGGTCAGTCGTTCGAGTCGGCTAATGGGAATCCTTTTTTTGCGTTCTTGAGCAAGGGGCGCCGAGAGCAGGCGCGAAGCGCCTGCGAAGTGGGTACATTGCGGAAGGTGACCGATCGGTGGTGTGTGATCTTCGGCTGACGCAGTCGTGTGTCTGCATTACTCGATGCCATTTTTAACGCGTGGTGGGACACATGATGGGCAGCCTCAGCGCCTGGACCGCATCGCACACGTTCCCGGTTGTTATTGTTCCGGACGGCGGGGCGTGCGTCATCCTAGTAGCACCACGGCCGCGCCAACTATGGTGGTTGTGACAGGCCTACAGCATGCTTCGTGAAAGCACACGTTTTGGCACATCATCAGAAGCGCGGATGCAAGCAAATTAAGCACAGGCCCCGGAAGGCGCTTCCTAACATTGGTCGTAGCGCGGAGGCGCATCATAAAAGCTATTCCTCAAACGCTAATGGCGGCGCGGGGCGTAAGACAAAGGATAATGGCACCCGCCCGTGGGCCAAGGGGATAACCGAGAACAGGCGGGCCTGGCGGCTGCTGATGGAGGCGTCATTAGGGCACTGAGGTCGCCGGCCGCGGAGAGCCCGCAGAAAATGGGCATCCGTGCCTCATCTCCTGCGGGAGCATTGCGGCGGGCCCTGCAAACCTTCACGCCGCCTCCCCAGCTCTGGCCACAGACACCTCAGGTTGGGGCCGTGTGTGCCACAGGCCTTCACCTGCACCGCCTCGGGGCTGAGCAGATCTTTGGCTTGTTAGATCGGCCCGCTGCAACGGGAGCATTTTCCCATTAAGCTCGCTGATCACAGCGCTGGATTGCTTCCCGGTGTACCATCACGCTCAAAGACGGGGCCAGGCGCCTGCGGTGGGATGGCCGGCCGCCTACATGCATAACCACAACCGAGCCCTAAGACCCGACCAGTGTGGCGAAATAACATCTCAGCAGCTCGTTCTGGAGCAGAGGGGCATAAGAATAAGCCGGTTGGGGTAATGGCGCTTTGAATTGAGATATTTAGTAATATTTGATTCTTTGGTCTAGAATATTCTCAGTAGGTTTGTGGCACATGGGTGAAGACCAGAGACGAGAACAAAGAACCTGGACAGACCCTCGATCCCAATGAGCTGCTACAAAGCGAATAAGAGAATTGTAACTTACTTGGACAAAATGATGCTAGTCATGGGAGACGGATCTGCGGTGGGGCACTCTCCGAAGAAGTCTACGATAGCGGGACTTTGCGGACCTGTCGCTGAATCGGAAGAAATCCGACGCATGGCTATCGCGCTCTGTGACTGGAGGAATGGAGGGTCCAAGAAGCCAAGAGCGCTGAGAACACATGAGCGATCGACGAAGACGAATCAAAGTTCAGACTGAATGGGGCGGGGGTCAAGGCAATACCGTTAAGTGGCCATTTACGGAGGATCAAGAGTGTCCGAGTGGGGCAGACAGGGGCCGGACCCGTTCCGTAAAGAAGTTCCTAGCCGAGTGGAGGATTCACCAATTTGACGGATACGGGGGAGGATGATGGTAGCGTGATGTTGATGGCCCAGAATCACTTGGATGAGAGCTCATGATACCGCCCATTCCAATTAACCCATCGTAGACAAGCCATTAATAGGAATGGAGCGGTGGGCAACGAGCTCGCGGTTCCTGAGTGTGAGAAAAAGACGGGCTAGGAATAGCAGTCTCGCGAGTGATCACGAAGGCGGTCAGGAAACGTGTGCCAGTGGTCCCTACTCGGGGTCACGCCGGTACGCCGCTCTGGAGATTCCCGATGACCAAGGCTAAGGCCCAGAGTTACCATTTGCCCGCAAGAAGTCGTCGAGTTGCCACATGGAGTCACCCACAGAGGTACGCAGCGTCCGAAAATCGGGGGCTAGCAGTAAAAGCCAGGTATAGGTGGTCGAAGGAAGACACCGAGAGGCTTCCTAGGTCCGCACTGTGTTCGCATCGCAGGAAAGTAAGGGCGCTCAAGACCCCAAAGACGGTTAGCCGCACTGACAGCAAGGGGATATCCCGCGGCCCAAGTTGTCGGGCCTGGGAGATCCGGCGCCCAGCTGGGGTGCCGCTGACGGACACGGTGGTGTGTCTCCACAGCAACAGGCGCGAGGCAGGGGAGGCCCCGCTGGTACAGAGGGTGGACAAGGGGGATGAGAAGCGGGCCACGCGGGGGGGAGGATGCGTCGCGTATAAGCTAGAAAAATTAAAGTTACGTGGGGAGAGAGATCCGAGCGATAATATTCGCAGCGGGAGGGCGCGGAGGACCCTGAAGGAGAGGAAGCGTGGATGGGACGTGTAGAATGGAGCTTCTGATAATCGGAGGGAGGCTTCTGTGCGGTGGGCGGCCGGCAGCGGGACGGGGGCGCGGCCTGGCGCGGCCAGCCAGTGGGGGTCTGGGAAAATGGTAAACAAAACCACGTGTCGATTTGTGGGTAATTATTTACGTTCCACAAACTGCCGTTTGAGTATAACAGCCGGCGTTCACTCGCCAATTATTGGGCCACCACGCTCCGCTTCACCCAACACCTGGGATATATAAACCCCCCTCCCGTCCTCGTCCTCATATTATGGCCGTTATGCTCCCACTCCATCCTGCCGCCATCCCGCCCTACAAACGTCGCCGACGCACCGCTACTTCTGTCTTTGCCGGCGATTTCGACCCCCGTCCTCCCCGTGATGTCCTGACCAGCCTTCTCAACGGGGTCCCCCGCTACGCAGCAGTCGAGCCAGTCGACAATTTGAAGCGCGAGAAGCGCAAGGAGAAGAAGGTGCGCGACAGGGCGCGGAAGAGGGCCAAACTCATCCACGATGAGCCCGTTCACGGTGACTCCGACCCTCTCCACGACACCACCTTCCCTATCCCCGACGATCCCATCCGCTCCAGAGACTTCCTTTTCGATGCGCCGTCTTCCTCGTCCTGGGGCTCCCGGCCCGTGTTGCAGCTTGTAACGGCACAGCGTTCCGTATCGGTTACGCCGCCTCCGATGCCCTCGTCGCCCCCGACCACTCCTGGCCCCTCCATCTCGTCCAGCACATCGCGGACGTCGTCCAAGCGTCCGCGCACTCCGGGCGAGGACTCCGACTTCGATGAGCCGGATGGATCCGGCTCCGCGCCGCCTCGTCCCCGCAAGAAGCGCACCGCAGCACGGAAGGGTTGGAAGGGTTGGGTAGAGGGGTCCCCGCCGCCGTCCGAGAAGCTCATCAACCTGGACACGGTAGAGGTGTTGCGGGAGCGGCGAACTCGGAGTGGGAAAAGCTTTGATGCGATTGGGCTTGGTAAAGATTCATGGGTCACGAATGGTGCGCATATACTCAGTATTTGACCAGGACCTTAAGTCTGACGCGGTCTCGCCGGTCCCCAGCATAGATGCGCGGCGCAGCGCGCTGCGCAGCACCCTCTGCCTATCTTGCCATATCCGTCCTTCTTGTCCGCACTTTATGGCTTTGTTCTTTTTTATTATTCCAGTCTTGCTTTATCTCAGGATCTATTCCCATCGGTTGCTCTGGTTTGTTCTCGTGTATATCCCCTCATCTTCATCACCTCATTATGCTGGCCTTGCGCGATCTTCTACAAGTCAGTTACCACCCATGTATTTCATATCACCCCGCCCTGCAGCCAATATCCTCTTCCAGCCCCTTCAAAGCCGTCGAACCCTCACCTTATTGTTCCCTTTTGTATTCTCCCATTGAAAGTAGATTACCTATTCGACGCGTCTGCGACCTGGATGAAGAATCGATAGATATGTTTGCAGCAATCAGATGTCTCGTACACATTTCCGCACTGAGAATGAGTGAGCCTGAGTGCCCAGAGGATAGGACGTGGCGGGACTGACGTTCGTTGGCCAAACTCCCGTCGGGCACTGACAAGCGCTCACCGTTCCCACGATCGGTGTCGCTGAAGCATCGCCATATTTGGCGGTGCCAACAGCCCGGCTCGGACGGGCAAGCGAGTGGGACGTTGCCTTCAACCTTCTTGAACAACTGATCAACCCGACGCACCGCGCCGTGCCCTCCCTCTCTCGGCAGCACATGTACGTCAAACCGCCCTCATATCTCTCAGAACAAGTCATACTTCGGGGCCTGTCGGGCCTGCCTGGCACCTGCCTCGCGCCTTACGGCGATGCGGCGCCCGCCAGCGTGCCAGTCGGGTGCCCGGTGCCGGCACGATCGCAAACACCTAACTGACGTCCACTGACCCTCCGCTCGTTCAGCCCTCCGCTTTACGGATCTGCCACGATGATGTCGCGTTTCTCGCCTCCACCACTCCCCCCGCCCCAGTCATGGTACCCTGGGCACATGACGCAATTCTCGAGGATGCTTCCTGGCCTGCTGGCGCGCACCGACGTGGTTCTCGAACTACGGGATGCGCGTCTCCCTCTGACCAGCGTTAATAGAAACTTCGAGGGTAAGTGGCACCATCTAGAACACGTATGCACCCTCGTAGATGTGTTCGCGGCACCATGGAAGCCACGTGTTCTGCATAAGCTGTGCTTCGTCGCTTGGGGTACCTGCTGTCTGTGTGGAAGGGGACGAGCGTGCTCGACACATGGCAGAAAACCCTACCTTCGTCCCCTTCTTCCACGGAGAAAGGGTGGCCTGGACACCCGATCCGCCAGCGTGGTTCGTCTATTACGCGTGGCGAAGCCAGTCAGCATCATGGGTCGAGGCGCTTATCGTTTCATTTACCAAACCTTGACCCCCGGCCCTTAAACGCGGCTGGGGGCTTTGTGCTTTTGGACAGTACCGCTGATCCTTGTTTCCGGCCCACTAGGTGCCCTGGCCCGATGGCGGACGGAGCGAGTGCGCCTCTCCGAGCATGCCGCTGCCACCTCGCCTCATGCTAGCGCACGCGTGTGCGAGCGGGTGGTTGTGTTCAGCAAGCGTGACCTCGTCCCAGAATGGGGTCTTGAGGTGTGTGCCCTCATCGATCCCAGGCCCAGGCCGTTGACCGCGGTCGTGTCGGCATAGCCATTCCGGAGAGCCATGGCCGCCAAATTCCCTGACCAAAGGGTCCTGTTTGCGTCA